TGAGAAGTGATACACTTTAGTTACACATCTACTGTTACTACAAGGATGACAACTCAAAAAGAGAAACCTGGGGCTGGGAAAATGCCAGTAGGGTGCCTTCCACACAAGCATGAGGAGCTGAGTTTGATCCCCAAATTCATGTAAGAAAGCCAAGCGTGGTAGCATGGAGCTGTAATCCCAGCAGTGGAGAAGAAGAAACAGGCAGATGGCTGAGTTCACTGGTCAGCAGCCTGGCCCAATCAGCATGCTCAAGGTCAAAGAGAGGCCATGTCATAAAAAACCAGAATGGTGCCTAGAGAACCACCCTCAAGAATGATCTTGGTCTCAACACACACACACACACACAAACACACATTACATCTGCACACATGAACCCCCACACTAAATAAATGTAAAAGATACACAGGAAAGAGAGTTAACCTGTATTATTATGACAGACTCCCTTAAATATAGGCTAATCATTTAAATACTTATTCATTGATTGATTAATAAAAATATTTGTGCCTAATATCCCTAAGATTTTGTACAGAATTCAAAGATTAATGAGGTATAATCCTTATTCCAAACTACTAGAGTCAGTGTTCTGCTTTACAGGGGTCCAAGGAAGCACTCGGGTCACTCCAGGGGGAGTGTTGACTTAGCAGAGCAGCAGGGGCGCCAGCTCTGGTGAACTGACTGCCCATTGCTTCACATAAGGCCTTTTAGTGGTAAAAAACTCACACCTTAGCAAGTCAATTTCCTCGTGGCAAAACCTCTTTTCTGGAGTGTTTGAAGGGACCAAATGCTAAAGGAAGTCTCAGTCAGGAGAACTCTTGGTTTGCCAAGTCCTCTCATAACCAAGTTTTGCAAAGGCCTTGAACCCTTCAGGAAGAGCTCAGATAAGATTCAAACACTTCAAACAAAAGGTATCAGTGACAAAGAAAGGTAGCATCACAAAAGGCAGTTCAAAGCCTAGGTGCTACCACTCTGGAATTCAAGCTCTGCCAGATCTCCCACTATAGGATAGAGCTGTAAATAACCCACATTTGCAGATAGGTGAAAAGTGCTGGTGCTGTTTTAGGCCCTTGTCAATACTGTGACAAAACGCCTGACAAATGTGGGCTAAGGAAGAAAGGCAGTCATGGAGGCAGGAGAGTGAGGCAGCTGTCACATGGCACCCACAGTCAGGTAGCAGGCAGGGATGAATGCTGCTGTTCAACTTGCTTTCTCCTTGTCTTGTAGTTTGGGATCCACGGGGTGGTCCCATTCAGGGTCAGTCTTCCCAGTAAATCAACCCAAGCTCGAAAACCCTCACAAACATGCAATAGGGTCTGTCAAGGTGATGAGAGAAACCATCTCAGTCAGGTTGTTCTGAGAACTGGGTTTCTTACATACTGCTCTGTGCTGACTAGTTTTATGTCAACTTGTGCTACAAATAGCAACATCACACAGTGATTATACAGCCACCTATCATGAGATAACTCAGAAGAATTAAGGGCTCTCCTGATGGGTGAAACCAGTACAAACGCTGTACCTGGTGTTATAATCTCATGAATGAATTGACTGTGTCTTGCTGTAGATTCTTCCTGTAGCTTATTCCTTTCTGTAACAAACTGGGGATTTACGTCCCACAGTTCAGGAACATCTGATCATTTACTGGAAACAAAATTCTCCCATGCATTTGGAGTTTTACTGATTACAATCCCTAGCTATGTGTAAATACCTGCTCTCCATTAACAAGTCCTAGTTTACTGATTATATTCCTGAGCTATGAGTGAGGTCTGTTTCCTACTATCAGGTCCTTGTCCCCCACCCTCCAATGGGATTGCAGAGATCTGCCTTCCTGAAATAACCTTTATTGACAGTCATTCCGTCAGTGTTTAGGGCCCAGGCAAAAGCATACCATCTAAGACATCCCCAGATATCCAAGGACATGTTCAAAGTTGTTGATTCATAGCTGCCTAGATGGATAGAAAAAATAAGTATGCCCTGGTTTTACTTCATTGGCAGATAGAGAAGTGATAACCTAAACTAACCCACACTAAAAGGTTCTCAAATTTCTTGTGTACTAACTCAAGAATTTAGCTCAGAGATTTACTGCTTGTGTTTCCCCTGAGAAGATAAAGATAGATAACCAACCCATTTGCTCATCCTTAGGGAAAAGTGAACTTTCCTGGATATCCATGCTGTCACAGAGTCTGAAAGGCGCCAGGTTCTGTTTCTTGTGCAAATTAAACTTAGACACTCTCTTTGACTTACAGCCCTAAGTAACTGATGCTAAAAGTTTCTCCTAGAAGTTTTAGTTTATTGCTCTGTGTATAAATCTTATCTGCTTTACTGACCCTGAGAAACTCAAGCCTCACACTGTATTGTAAAAAGAATTACTATTGCAAATGAGTATATATACCTGTAACCCAAGGACTGGGGAGAGACAAAGAAACAGAAAAGAAAGACTGAGACAGAAACAAAGAAACAGAGAGAGACAAAGAAAGAGAAGAAGAATAAAGGAACATTCAGAGGATCAATTGTGCGTGCATCAATTCCTTTCTCCCTCAGATTTAGTTCCTTCACTTATTTGTGGTTCCTTTTTTTTGAACCCTGAGTGAAAATTTTAGAAGCTGGACTTTTAAAGTTTTCAATAAACTTGACACAAGTTAAAGTCATCTGAGAGGAAGGAGCCTCAATTGAGAAAATTCCTCCATAAGATCAGGCTGCAGGCAAGCCTGTAGGACATTTTCTTAATTAGTAACTGATAGGGGAGGGCCCATTCCATCGCAGGTGGTACCATCCCTGGGCTGGTGGTCCTAGGTTCTATAAGGAAGCAGGATGAGCAAGCCATGAGGAGCAAGTCAGTCAGCAGCATCCCTCCATGGCTTCTGCATCAGCTCCTGCCTCCAGGTTCCTGTACTGTTTTGAGTTCCTGTCCTGACTTCCATCAGTTATGAACCACTAGTGATGAGGAAACAAAAGCCAAATTAACCCTTTTCTCTCTAACTTGCTTTTGGTCATGGAGTTTCATCACAGCAATAATAACCCAAAGACACGGCTCTATAAAACACTGCCTAAGATGGCACAGCAGATAGGAAAGTCTAAACTGTAATGCTCCCTTCTGTAGCAACTACTTTTTAGTAACAATAAAATATCATGGCCAAGGCAACTTATAGAAGGAAGAGTTTATTTGGATTTATGGCTCTAGAGGACTAATCTATAATAGTGAGGAGGCATGGCAACAGGTGTGCAGAGCAGAAAACAAAGATCACATCTCAGCCTCACAGAGGAAGCTAAAAGAGTGAATGCAAGTAAAGCAAGGCTATATACACTTTCAAAGCCCACCTCCAGTGACACACTTCCTCCAGCAAGACTTTTGTGTTCTATGCCTTGACTTCCCCAAACAGCACCAGCAACACAGGACCAAGTGTTCACATCCATGAGTCTATGGGAGACATTTCTCATTCAAATCGGCACAAATTCCTGCATTGCAAACCTTTATGCTACCCCCTAAGGGACACAGAGAAGGCTTTGTGTATCGGGTACCCCCATTATTTAGTACTCATTAACTATCTGGCAGTACTGTTACAGTGTTAGCTATCACCTGTCAGTATTGATGCTGTGTTGACCCTCCCCAGTGCATAGCCTGAATTCTCTGTAAATCCTAGAACACTCAGAATTAAACTTGATTTACAGAGCAACTCGCTTAGATGGAAAATGTTTCGTGCCCGCAATTCATATATCTACAACTACTTTTCTTTTGGAATGACAAATCTGAGGCCAGACTAAACTACATAGTGAGTCTAAGGCCACCATGATACAGAGTGAGACTGTCTCAAAAATAATAACAATAATTCCATGAAATCTGGAAGCAGGAACATTCTCCAAAACGTGAAACAAAAGAATCCTAACATGACCTAACTGCTAGCTCTCAACCAGAAAATGAGTGGGAAACTAAACCTTCTCTGCTCTAAGCTGTGACGATGGTAGAGAATAAAGATGTCTGTCTTCTCTCTTTCCTCTGCTTAGAGCAGAGAAGAAACAGACACAAAAACTGAAAAGATGGAGACACCAGGGCTGGATTCCGCTCCAGATGTGAGGCTAAAAACCGTTTCCACAATGACAAGATGACAGGTCCTCATAGCCACCGCTCAGTGTTTAAGTGTTGTGTCTTGGCCTGCTGGCATTACTTCCCTTTTCCATCACAAAATGGTAGGAGGAGTGGATGAGGAGTACAGATGTGGTCCAAAGCTAACCATTTAGAGAAGGTGACTTGAGGGCAGAGACAGCACAGCTGGCCATCCAGGCAGGAAGCTGGACCTTCTGAAGATATGAGAATCATCATTGCTGGGGCTCATAGCACAGGAAATTTTTTTACTTGTTTTATTTTCACATTTTTATCTATCTATATTTATTTTGTGTTTATGTGTACCCATGCGCTTTTGAGCACACGTGCGTGCACACACACACACACACACACACATACACGCATACATGTATTTGCAGGTACACATTCTTGCATGCCACAGCACACATATGGAGATCAAAGGACAACATGTTGGAGCTGTCTCTCTCCCTCCAACGTGTGAGTCCCTGGACTCAAACTGTTCGGCAATCAAGTTGTCAGGCTTAGTTGTAGTATTTTTATCACTGAGCCAGGTATCTCTCCAGCCCCACTGATTCCTCATAGTATCATTCATCTCTAAATGGTACTAACAATGTCTGGAATGAATTCTAGGGTTGCCTTCTGTCCTCTTAACAGAAGATTCAATGTGCACATTCACTTCCTAGATCCTGTTTCCTGCTTGGGCCCCCTTAGCCATGAGATAACCGATGGCAGCTAATTTTTATTCGCACCTTACTGAAAGCCTCTGGGCTTGATGCTTTAGGCTTGAGAATAAACACAAGAGAAGCTCCATCAGCACCCCCACGATGAATCTCAAGTAATCATTGCATAATTAGTAAGAAGCAAAACCCAGGTATTGGGCTTGACTGAGAAATGTAAGATGGCAGCCATGCAGAGCCACACTCACCTGCCCCATCAGGTGTGATGGTGCCCAGCTTCACCGCCAGAGGATAACCCATGTCTCTGAAATGCTCGAGTGCATGACCATTGCCCCCGGAGCTGTCGAAAAACCACTTCCCACACAGAACAGAGCCGTCAGTCAGATTCAGCCAGAGGTTCTCCCGCAGGTCACACCGGGCACACTTCCAGCCGCTAGAAAGTCACAGAAAACAGGCAGAGCAGCTAGTACATCAGCAAAGGACTGTCACGTGAAAAATGAACAGCCCTGCCCACTGGCATCACTTCCCCCGCCCCCACCGGGTTCTCACCCCAGGGTATTATTGGTCTCCATCCGGAGCGCAGGACCAGTGCCCGGCTGCCTACCACACTGGGCCAGAGACTGTCAACACCTCCAGCATGACTCTTTAGAAAATGGTCCATGATACAAAGGGCTAGAAAGAGGCCGTGTCCTCCAAGCTCACACTTGCGGGGCAGTGGCTCCTAAACAGGCTACAAACATGGAGGATCCCACTCGGAAGACATTTCCAAAGCATTACCAATATGATAAAACTGACATGTCTTAAAACTATGCCATAGTCCAACTTGGGCATATACCGGGAAGGCCTGTACATTAATGGTACAGTTCTCAGTGTGGCACTACGAAGCCAGCAGAGTTTACAGGCAGACATAAGGTACCTGTAAACCAGTTATCTAGGTATTTACGTCTGGAGTTGTAGGTTATTGGTTCAGTCAGATGCGATTAAAGAGCCTTCTCTGCAGTGGGCAGCAGGGACCATGGGGACTAATAAGTGGTCAACATGCCGAAAACAAGAGACTTCTGAGTGCTCAGCCATGTGTGGGACAACCACATCATCTCTAGGGCTCAGACTACTACAGAAAGAATGAGTGGAGCAGTGTCCTGGAATGCTGTCTTCTGGGAATGGCACAGCCACTACACTCTTGAATTCATAGTGGCTGTGACTACAACACGGGGCCCATTCCATCATGGAGTAGTAAGACACTCATGAGGCCTGCCCTTCCCCGAGACCTTACAGGCAATAGCTGCTCAGGGAAGGAAGACATTTTCTTCAATGGTGTACTCACTGGTAATGTGCCATTGTTCCCATAATAACCCTCCACCTGTTTTCCTCTGCAGCCCTAATTAAACTCATTAAGTTCCAAAGAAGAGAGCCATTAAAACATGAGGGACTAGTTCAGAAGAGGAAGGGGGTCTGCAGGAGTGGTGGGAGGATGAGAGAGGGTAACAGGAGTGAATGTGAGGAAAACGGTTACACATACGTATGAAAACATCGCAACAGTGCTGGCTACTATTAATGTCAACCGACACCAGCTGGAGTTATTTTGTAAGCGGGAACGTCAGTTGAAAAAGGGCCTCCATAAGACTGGTCTGCAGGCACATATAGTACGTAGAGGGCAAAATGTTGATTGATGTGGGAGGGCCTAACTCGCGGTGGGCGGTGCCATCCCTGACAGGTGCCATCCCTGGGCAAGACTTGGAGGGAGCCAGTGAGCGGCATCCCTCATGGTCTCTGCTTCGTTCCTGCCTCCAGGTTCCAGCCTTGCTTGAGTTCCTGCCCTGACTTCCCTCAGCGATGCACTGACACTTGAAGTGTAAGCTGAAATAAACCCTTTCCTCCACAAGCTGCTTTTGGTCATGGCGTTTTATTACAGGAATAGAAACTAACTAAAACAACCATGAAACATGAAAAACATGAAGACCATTATTATGTATAGTTAATATACTTTGATAAAATGTTTTAAAAGAAATACAGCTGAAGAGAAAGTTTTGTGTTCATTGAGTGTACTTTTTATTTTTAAGTTTTATTGACTTTTGCTATTTTGTGTGTACAGGTGTTGTGCCTGCATGTCTATAAGTGCACTGTGTGTGTGCCCGATGCCAGTGGAGGCCAGAAGAAGGCACAGGATCCCCTGGGATTGGAGTTACAGACAGTTTTAAGTTGCCATGTGTGTGCTGGAAACCAACCTGGGTCTTCTGTAAGAGTGGCGAGTGCTCTTAACCAAAACCACCACTCCCTCCTCTACTGGGAATACTTTCAAAGGGAACATTAAAACTCAAGACATCCTCTTCTCTCTCCTTTCATCCCACCATGAGTTAAATAGCCTGTGCCACCATTAATGGCTGACCTATCTCAAGTGTTCGCTATAAAAGATGACTGGAATACCCTACAACACTACAATTTTAAACTAAGAAAATAAATGACCCAAAATGAACACTAAATGTCAGTTATGGGTGAGATGGCTAGCAGAAAGTCCTATCATCTAATTTTAGAAAATTCTGCTCAGTGTTAGTGCCACCATGCTTCTTTCTACAGAGGGAAAAAACGAGGCCCAGCATCGATGTGCTTTCTCCAAAACTACTTTCTTAAAACAGACAGCCGTGCAGTCACAGGTCAATGAAACTGGACATATATTCCTAAGCACCATCTGCTCCTTCTCTGTGAGATCTGCCCTCAGAGATGCTACTGGGCCCCAAAGAGATTCTAGCCTCCTGGAGACAGTCCAACACTGTGTCAAGTCAGGCCCCCTAGAACGAATTCAGACACATAGATCTAGATGTGTGGACGCTGATCCCAGCAGAATGGGGGTGACAAATAAGAAAGAGCAGAAGTCAGCATAAAATACGTCCCCAAGTGACCACCGTGGAGACCTGGAGCTCAGGCCTGATGAGGAACTATGGAGGATAAGTGTTCTCCAAGGGGGCAGGAGGCTGAGCGTTGATCCACCCACTCTCCTGCCGGCATGCGGTCCCAGAGGACAAGAACTTCAACTGGCATGTCTGACCATCCCACGTACTGCATAGCTGATACTGCCAAGTGCAAAGTCCCTGTGCAGAGCTGCACGTGTGTGCAAACACCAGCTTTGCTGCAGGGCAGGGCCTGGGCTTAGGGCTGAGAGCTCAGCACCTACCGCAAAGGTCCAGGCATATCAGGAAAGAAGTTTATCTTTGTTGGGGTTTCTTCTTTCTTTTGTAAACTCATTAGAGTTTATTCTAATACATCTTCCTCCACCGCGCCCCTCGAGCACACACTTCCCCCTTCTGCTTCCTTCCAAACCATGTGTCTTCTACTGGTCTCTTTTACTCCATCACTTAAGAGCTCTTCCTGCCATTATGATCTCCTTTCAAGTCTCATACACAAATATACATGTGCACCTGTGCATATGTGTGCAAATGTGCATATGCGTGTCAGCACTTAAACTTAAATCTAAGTCCATACATGAGAGAAAACAGGGATTTTTGTCTTTTGGAGTCTGACTCATTTCTATTAACAACTTCCAGTTTTTATTGGATTTGTAATGAAAGGCATCCACTAAGAAAATATAAAACTGCTAGTTCAGAGAAAAGGTAGAAATCAGGTGTTGCTTTGCCCAGTTTGGGGGGCAAGCAGACTCTCACCTGGGAGGAATCCTGACCCCATTGTCCAGCTGGGCGAGATTGTTGGCATACTTCGACACTGGCAGTTCATTTTCCCACGTGTCTGGATCCTGCTTCGTGTAAGGTGACTTGGAGCTGAGCACTGCATCACAAGCAATTGTAACCTATGAGGCAAATCCAGGTAGAACACTGAAAGCTCAGCTTCTGGAAGTGAACATGGAAAAAGGAATGCCGCAGCCTCCCTTCAGAAATTCAGTTACACCGCAGTGAGGTCCGTTCCCCTCAGTCTGCCTAGATTTGACCCAGGCATGGGGCTGGGGTACCAATGATGACGTAAGAGCAAGGAAGCAAATTGCACTCATCAACTCAAGCTTAGTGTTCACGCGGAATGATCCCTATCACTTAGCAATGGGGTAAGACGGTGAGGGAGCAAGTTCGGAACAGGAGGGCTGAGTTTCCTCCTCGTGTACCAAGACATCCAATATCCTCAGCTCACATGGCATGGGGTCAAGGGCACTTGAGTGGAATGCATGCAGTACAGCTCCGCTTCCTAGTCTAATGCAGATATGACGCCTGTGCTACATGGGTCCGCTCACAAGCAGAGGTGGGACACCCTGCTTGATGCCTTCTGCTTTCTCTCAATGTACGTGCCTAATGCTGAAAGCTATTCTCCAGCTCCTATAAAACTTAAATTCTGCTGCAAAGTAACAGTACAGCCACTTTGAAAACAGTCCAGTCTTTAAGTGATCAAACAGTTGCCGCAGGACCCAGAGATACACCCAAGAGACGTAAAATATTAGTTACAAGAGGACGGATTAAGAGATAGCTGTAATAGCATGGCAGCTACAAAGCAAAAGCAACCCAAATGCCTACCAATGATAAACAGAATGAAAAAAAAAAAACAAATGCAGTAGGTTCACACAATAGAATTTGTCAATAAAAAGAAACAGGGTTCCAAACACATGATGCTATGTGAATAAATCTGAAAAATGTATGCTGAGGGAAAGAAGCCAATCACATTCCATGGGGCTTCAGATAGCATAGCTGGGCATGAGTGGATAGTTAGACCTTTCAAAATGGGCACCCCTACTCATTCTGTCATGTATACAACCCACAGTGAGCTATCCTGCCAACCATCACAATGCATCTTCCACCACCGGGCAGATCCCATGCCTGGACCAGAAGCCTTAGCATCTCACCCCAGCAACCAGTGTCCTCGGTGCAGCTTCCCATCTGTGGGGGCACCAGACCTTGAACAGAGACCCACTTCCCCTTCGGCCTGGGAGCAGGCAGCTGTGAGATAATGTTTACTGAAAACAATTCAGTGCTATAAAGCTCTTGATAGGGCTCAGATAAGGGCTGCTCATTGAAACACCATGACTTTGACACCCCCTATGGCTAGATGCTTCTTCCTGTCCCCCCTGCAGTGTCTCCCCCCCCCCATTCTGGGGCCAGAGATTAAACCACCAGCCAGGAGGGTGAGAAGTCTGGGAGAGCTGTGAGAGCTCGGTTGGAGAATTGTATGTAGATGGATGGCAGAAATCCTTAAAAAGGGAAGCGTTTTTTTCTTGGGGAGGTTCTCCTAAGCAGACTTGGGGAGTTCTCCTCCTAAGCTGACTTGGGAAGCATAAAGTTTTCTTAAAGCAACAGACCGGTCTCTGTGTCATCTATCCCGACCACCTCCCTACATTCTCGGATGCAGGCTGCACAGCAGGTGCGACACCCATCACCTGCAGCAGCCTATTTTCCCAGCTGCCTGGATCGTGCGCCATCCTCCTACACACACACACACACACACACACACACACACACACACACACACACACCACTGACAGGAGGGTTGACATAGAAGAGTCAGATAAAATCTTTTTCCTTTGAATATCTGCTCAGCAGACATCCAATAAAATTTCTTCAGGCCCCTGGGACCACCATAAAAAAACGGGCCTGGTGTCTCCAGAAATCATGCTCTTCAGGGGTCATGGCTGAGGTCCAGCTGATGATCCCATAACTACACTGAGTTCGTTCCCCTTGAGTTGATGCTGGAGTGAAGTGAGGAGACTGGACTCTACCTCAAATCTCAGAGACCTCAAATCCAGTGCTTCTCTGGAACTGGCTCAAAACCGGGCCCTGAGAATTGACTGTTAAATTTTAAGAAATTCAGCACCCCCTATATTTGTCACGGTGCTATTCACAATAGGCAAGAAAAGAGAAAAAACTGAGTGCCTATCACCTGATGACTGGGGACAGGAAATGCGATGCTTGTGTACAATGGAATGCTATACATCCATGAAAAGTAATGAAATCCTGTCATTTGCAGCAGCATAGATAAAAGTGAAGATGATTATCTTGAGTAAAATCAGCCAGGCACAGAAAGAGAGTACTACATGCTCACACTGCATGGAGCATTATATAAAAACATTTACGTAGAAAAGTGAATGAATGGAAAATTGTCAAGACATTTATTTATAGTATGCTTCTTTACTTCCTTTCCCACAGCAAAACCAGAATTACACGGAACCCGAGCAACAAGAACTCTCAGCATTGGGACTGGAGAGATGGCTCAGGGATAAGGACCCCGGTCAAATCCCCCAGCACCCAGATGGCAGCTCACAACCATCTGTAACTCCATTTTTGCAATGTTTTTTCATAATATTTAAACTTTTCTATGTTTAGATATTTTTTCTTGGGTGAAGCACGGGTTTCTTTTCGTGGTCCCTGATCAATTTAAACAGATGGAACACCAGTGGCGCTGCTCACTGCCTTCTGGGCAGCCTCTTTTGCTTGGTGGGCTTGTAGTACAGCTATGCATTTTACTCCTGATACCAGCCATTTGAGTCAACATGTGAAATCTGAGAAAGTAACAGGAATTCACTTCCACAAGCCTCATGAAGACCTCATGTGGAAAAGGGTTCCTTACATTAGTAAGCGGGAGGACTGCAGCCGACAGGTGAACAGCACTCTTATTTCTATGATCTTAAATTTAGCTGTATGATAGATCAGAAGAAAATAGGTTACACTAGAAACCCAGTCCCTCTGAACATGGAAACTCTAAGCCCAAACACTCCCTTTTGGCAGGAGCAACTGAGCAGCCAGTTCTCGCTGCTGGTCAGGGTCGGTCAGAAGGTTCTGGGACCCACAGGCCTGGCTTTGGTTCCAGTGGAGTTTGGAAAGGGGAAAATGAACCGGCGTGTCTTGGTTTAACCCGCCTTGCCCCACTGCTTTCTGGGACGAGACTACAGGAAACAGCGGTATCCACGCACGAGGTGAAGAAAAGGGGGGCAGAGTGTTGGAAGTCACACAGGAAGCGAGGGAGAAGCAAGAGGAACATCTTGGGTCACAAGAGCCCTGTGACCTCTCTCTGAACTCAGAATCAAAAGCAACAAGCAGCTAGCATCCCCATCTGCCACCAGCCCAGCACCCAAGCTCCTTCAGGACAAGCAACAGCCTTCTATGGAACTGACTCTGAGAAGAACTATGAAACTGACTCACTCTGAGAAGAACCCAAGAAAAAGGAAGGGAGTAAGGGTGGAGGAGCTCACGGCCAAAAGACAAGAGTCATCTTGGTTCTTGGAACAGCGAAGCAGAGGCAAGTGTGACTCCCCTTCCCCCACCTCCCATCTCCCCTCCCCCACCCCATGCTCCCATCTCCCCCGTGCTCCCCAGGCCGGGATGTGCAGGCAGCTGGTTCTTTTATAACTACTGCTGCTTCTGCTGTTCCAGCAGGCAAACTCTTCGAGTCTTCAAACAAAATCTCACACGGAAGGGCAGCATGAAAACCTGGCATACACATTGTCATCCTTCCAACCAAAACACAGTCCCTCTCCAGCTGTCCCAGCACCTGTGAGGTGCATTCTTGGACAATCCCAGCAACACACTGGCCAAGACATAGCAGCCAGCCCAGCCTAGAGGAGCCCAGCCTCATGGGCAATGAAAAACAAATGGGGGGGGCACAATAAGGAAAGGCCACTCTGTGGGACCTCAGAGGACACAGATATTCCCCTTCACACTGTTTTATTTATTTGGGGGGTTGGTTTTGGTTTTTGAGACAGGTCTCACTATGTGGCCCTGGGTGGCCTTGAACTATTTAGCCCAGGCTAGCCTCAACCTCACAGTTCTGCCTCAGCATCCTTAATGCTGGGATAACAATCATGTGCCACCACACCCAGCTTTTACTCCACTTTATCCTCTCCTTCTGGACCGGCCCTCCCCACCATACCCCACCCCCACACAGAACGTACAGCCACATGCACACTCTCACACACACTTGAACACACATGCGCGGTCATGTGTGCACTCACTGACCAGGGCTGGCAGCTCCTCGATGTTTGGAAGAGCTATTTCATAGTGGTCTGGGAAGATAACCAGTTTGGCTTCATCTTCATATTCATAATCATCACTATTTAAATCATCATCCATATCTAGATCTGAGGAGAGAATAAAAACAAAGAAAAGAAGTGAGGAGAAGGTGGTCCATGCCAAGACATCCCTCACAGGAAATCCACAAGGTTAAAACACCAAGGACAGGGTCTGACCCTGACAGAGCTGACCATCCTCCTGCCCCACACCACGAGAAACAGGCCCTGCCATCTTTCCTAAGAGGCGTGTACTTGTTTATCAATGATGGTCACATCATAGAGACACACAGAGTGGGCATACATGTTAAAAACTGAATGTACAGGCTTTAAAGAAACATGCTTCCACTATGAGTTTAGGGTCATAATTTCACCAGAACAAAGAAACCAAAGTGCGCATGTGAGTGTGTGCAAGCGTGCATGCGTGCAAAGGCCAAAGGTCAACCTCAGGCATCCTTCCTCAGGGGCCATCCATCTTGTATTTTGAGAGAAGGTCTCTCACTGGCATGGAGGTCACTGATTCAGTGAGACTAGCTGGCCAGTGAGCTCTAGAAACCTGCCTGTTTTGGCCTTCTCGGTGCCAGAATTACCAGCATAGACGACCACACCCATTTCAGGGGAGGTTGTCTGGGGACCAATTCCAGTCCCTGTGCTTGCATAACAAACTCTTTACTGGCTGAACTGTTTCCTCCACACAAAAGCACATGGCTTTGAGAGTGGGGGAAGCTGGCTTTACTGCTGGCCCACACACTTAATACAACTTGAAGAAAACCACCAACTCTAACCTATGTACTTGGTCATATTCAGCCTGGGAAGGGTAGCACTCCTCTTACAAAGCAGAGAAATGACACATGTCAACCAGCACAAGGTAGGTCTCCAATAAACAGTAGCTGTTACTTAGAAATCTCCTTCATGGCCTCTTCCTTCTCTCAGTCTTCCCCATCTCTAATCGTGGTTGAAATTTCGAGAGCCAGAAGAACCCACCATGTGAGCAGTCCTATTGTCCTAGAGAATTCTCTTTAAAGAAAACAGGCCTCTCTGGGCCACCCTCTGCCAGGCCACCCTCTGTGCTTGCTTGGCTCATCCCGGGTAAAGGTTAGGTGACGGCTCAAGGCAACGTCTGGTCGTAATATTTCCATGGGCAGCACAGTCTTACCCTCCCTCACGGGGATGCCAGCGTTCCAGGTCATGTTTGTATTTATATGTTTGGGACTATGGTGATGAAAGCCAGTGAAGCGATGTTCCATACACAAACAAACGGGCTGTGTGGACAGAAGAAAATGACCCAGCGACACCACCGCAGGCACCTGAGAAGCCAGGGTCTAAATTCCATCACTCCCTTTAACACTGCACTGCTTCCATGTACGCTCAGGTTTTGACTCTTAGAAGCAGGACCATGCCAAGCAAAAAGTAAGACGCAGCAAAAATACAACCCAAACATAACAGAAGACTCTGAATCCTAAGATTCACCAAAATAAAGACCCCAACGTTACAAATTACCAACTTAACAAAAGGCAGTTTCAAAGGAGAGTCCAGTCATTTAGGAAACAACTCAAGAAACTTAAAGGGAATGATTTAAAAAAAAAAAAAAACAAGAAGACCATTAGTGTCCAAAATTCCAGATATTTTTTCTGTGTATTTTTAAATATTTGCAAATGTTGGGACCTAAGATAAAACATGAAATCCCTTTGTTTCATACACATTTTTTAAAAAAAATAGTGTACCTGCCTCTGACTGTTGTCCATTTGTGATGGGCTGAAAAAAAATGGCCCCAAAAGGGAGTGGTGCTACTAGGTAGGGGTGACCTTGTTGGAAAAGTGTGTCACTGTGGGGCTGGACTTTGAGGTCTCATATATGCTTGTGCCATGCCCAGTGTCTCAGTTCACTGTTACCCGCGTGATCAAGATGTAGAACTCTCAGCTCCTTCTCCAGCACCATGGGTCCTGCATGCCACCATGTCCCACCATGATGATAATGGACTGAACCTCTGAACTGTAAGCCACCCAATGAAATATTTTTCTTTGTAAGAGTTTCTGTGGTCAGAGTGTCTCTTCACAACAATAGAAACCCTAACTAAGACACTTTGCCATAAAAGATTGAGGCTTCATCATCTATAACAAAAATTAGAACAAAAATATTCAATGAGAAACATGGCCAGTTCAATGCTACAGCAGAAGTATGGAAACTTTTACCCTGCATAACACTGAAAATAAACAGCATGCGGCCCTCAAGGCAAAGGCAGCTTTCTCTTATTCCCAAGCACAAACACTGAAAAGGAAGGGCACTAAGGAAACAAAAGTTTCAGTGAGCTGTCCCACTTCATACTTCTTCATTATTAACATATTTTTCACATAGCAGCTTTAGGAAACAGAGTGTAAGTCTTAGGCTTTTGTGAATGGACTCCATACACACAAGATATTACCTACTTCTTTCCTATAGAGAGCACATTCAATCAATGCTACTTCAAAGATTATCTGCCCTGAATAATTAAAGTGAAAGGAAAAAACCTGCTCTAGCTTGTAACTCTTGGTGAGTTACCTACTGGACAGGTAAGTAGATTCCAGAGAATGAGGTCTTCAGGAACCTTGAGTCAGATCTGAGATGCTCTGGAGCCACCATGGGTGACTGCCTACACCACCATGGTCCTCATCTTCTTCTCAAATAGTTAATGTGTCTTTTTGTGTGTGGCGAATGTATGTCTGAGTGTGTGCACATGTGCTCATACATGTTTGCACATGCAAGGTGAAGGCCAGAGGCTGACATCAACTGACTTTCTTGATCACTCTCAACCTTATTTTTTTTTTTTATTGAGACAGGGTCTCTCACTAAACCTGGATCTCATTAGTTCAACCAGGCTGGCTGGACAGTGTGTTCCTGGGATCCCCCACCCTCTCTGTGCTCCCTGCCCCCAGTGCTGAAATTGCAGATGCGCCACCACACCTGATGTTTCCTTGGTTGTAGTTGCCAAGGATGCCGACTCAAGCTCTCATGTGTGCATGGCAAGCCACAGTTCCAACTGAGCCATCCCCATGCCTCAGTCTCTTCTCGTTACAGTAACAGAAAAGCACACAGTAGTCCCAGCTACTTACTAGGCTGAGATGGGAAGACCACTTAAGCAGAGGCATTCCAGGCCAGCCAACAAACAAAAGGTTTCAATATGGATAAACAAAAAGAGAGCCAGAATCGGGTCCCTCTTAGCATAAGAAAGGAGCTACCATCAGCCTAGATGCTTCCAGGTTTCAGTCAAATATGTACATATGTATGCATTACACACACAAATGTGGCTACATCCACATAAGTGCACACACATACATGTATATATATACAAATATAGAGACATGTATGCATATATGCACTTATGCGCATGAATACAACAGCATGTGCAGTTGTTTTTACCAAAATGAAGTCACACTATGCACCAGTTTTGAAATTCTTTTCAAATAACTGTAGCCATTCAGCAGACACACACACACACACACACACACACACACACACACACAGAGTCAAAAACATCAGAGAAAACCATAGTAGAAGATTAAAACAAATCTTAGACTAGCTATGTGATTAGAAATCAGAAGTTATTTTCATAAACAAAACTAATTCTTCTTAATGAAGAATATCAAACAACAATACCAATCATTGTTGCAAGCAAGAACTACTGATAGGTGCTAAAATTAGTGGGCCAACCCAACAGGTAATACCTCTGGAAGGTTCCTATGTGCATTTTACTGTGTGTAGTTGTATGTGGTTATAATCCTCGTGCTGGGGAGGCAGAGACATGAGGGTCCCTGGGCCTTAACAACAGCCAGTATAACTGAATTGCTGCGCTCTAGGTTCAGTAAGGAACCCATCCCAAAATAGCAAGGTAGAGAGCAATGAACTCAACCACCAGGCTACATGGGGTGGGGTAAGGAGGAAATGACACAGAAACAGAGACAGTGAGACAGAACAAGACACAGACAGAGAGACACATACAGGAAGCATACAGAAAGAGACCAGAAGCAAGACTATAATTCCTCTCTAGCTGCCATAATTGCTTCAAAGTCTAGGATCCACTCTATGCTCAAAGCACCCTTCACGGCCAGGGAAATGGAAAGTGAAGGCAGTGTTTAACCCAGCATTGTTCATCCCTATCACCAGAGACAAGAAGACAGAGAAAGACACAATATAACTGTGTTACCTAAAAATAACTTGGAATTCCTCCTTTTGGGTAAGGCTCCAGCAGACGCTGCTCTTACCTTCTGAAAAAAAAAAACAACAGATTATTAAAACACAGCCCATAAAACAGTCTGCTAACAAAATGTGTGACCCAGAGGTCCCTAGTTAAAGCCTAGACCTCAATTGTTGTGTGGGTAGAGGATCATTCTCTTGGCCCTATAGATGATTTCACTGAGTTATAAAGCATTCCCTCTTGAAAAGGGAAGTACAAACCAGAGATGGAGATGAAGCTGGTCAGTGCTCCCTCCTGGGAAACCTGGAGTTCCTGCTGAGGGACAGATGTGAGCCACCTATCCCCATGCCTATGCAAGGATTCTCAGCCCTTGGCCCTGGGTATGTTCAGTACTAACTGTTTAAGGGTTTACTAACTGTTAATGTATAGTCGCTGATATTCTGATCATCTGAAAATGTAAATCAACTCATCTAAATGATTTTTGGAGGGCCACCAGTGGCCAACTGCCATGTCATGCTCCACATGATCTCTGCCATTGGTGGGAGCCCTCAGAAGCAGTGAGTTTCCATCAGACGGCCGGATAGTAGTAGTCAAACATAATTATAACGATTCTCTTTCGCTCATCTATTTCCATACCATACACATACATATATGTATGTATATATATATATTATACATATATATGTGTGTGTGTATATATATATATCTTCCTGGGTATTAAGAAGAATTCAGATTTATTAAATGCAGCCCCTTTCCACACAGTCACATGAGTCAAGGCCATGCTGCGCACTCGCTATTTCTTTGTTTTCTCCCTCCTAAGTCTACTTTCCCACATTTCAGTATTTGATCCTGAAAGCCAACTCATCTTTGCAACTCTCATATTGCTTTCATAGCTTCTCCTATGGGTTTACAGTTCTCCTCATAGCAATCTCAAAACACACAGCTCAGAAACATGGCTCTCCAAACTCTAATGCCAACTGTGTGTCTTCTGTCTTAGAATCCCTCTCCTCCGTAATCCCAGAACCTCTGCCCCCCTCCCTACCATTCACCTTCCTCAAAAAAAAAAGTGGGATAAAGCAAAACCGGGAGCAAAGATTCACTTCACAATCCCATGATCACTTGTCTCTACAAACACTGTAGACTCTGGTCTCTACAGACTTCGCTCTCTAGTTCTGCATGATGGAAGAGGAAAATGAAAAGGAGGGTCTACATGAAGACTGGATGGAATATGTGTCTCTCCCTGACGGTAGGCTCAAACCTCAGACTCAGACTAGAAACACCCCTGGGGGGTACAATAGGATGTCCAATTGAAGACCTTTGCTCCTGATCCTATGACGGAGCTCAAGCACTAAAACTCCTCCCTTAGCAAACAACAATGTGCCTGTTTGTCAGGTTGTGTGTGAGAGCAAATGGAGCAAACATGGGAGTTTTCTCCTGAAGAGCTCACCAACACAGAGGATAACTGAGCGCAGGCAGAAAGCAGAATGGATTCTGAGAAGTCTAAGAGAAAATACAATTAGTGGGGATGCTTGGTTTCTCTGGAGGTGGAGACAGGATCATGTAAGAAAAGCATTAGACCTCAAATATAGAAGATACTTAGTATGGATCCATAGACGAATGTGTAATAATGGATGGAGAGATGGACAGGTGTGTGGATTCATAAATGGATGGGTGGGTGGGCAGGTGGGGTAGATGGGTGGGGAGGTGGGTGGGCAGATGGACGGAAGGATGGGTGTATGAATGGATAAACTGGCAGATGGGTGGGTGGGTGGATGATAAACAGACAGATAGACAGATAGATAAATAGATGGATGGGTCAATGGACAGAATAATGCATGGGTGGATTTTTAACTGTAGAGAACACAAAAGGTAAAAGAGAAGTAAGGAAAGAAAACACACATATGTGTAGAGAACAGACGTACACAGGCACTAAATCATGGTACATTCCAGAAATAGCTATGTGGAGAATACAAATTTGATGCAGTAAGAAAAAGGTGACAAGTCTGTGGGGCCCAATTATGAGCACCTTGTAATGACACTAAAGCGTTTTGGACTTTGGGCTGAAGGCATGTCAGATGGCACCGGTAACAGTGGTTTCCATTTAGAAAGATCACAGGGTGGGCGTAATACACCCTGGGTGGTAGTGAAAGCTATAGTCTAAAGGAAGGAGGATGAATCAGCAAGCTACAGGACAAGTCTACCACAGGAGCAGGAAGAACTAAGCAATGACAGCAGGGTTAGTGGACAGGATGGACTTCAGAGCTGTGTGGGAATCAGGTAACAAGACCCAGTTACCAGAAGGGTCCACAAGGAAAACAGAACCCCAAAACAGTCTGCATTTCTGGAATTCACAAGAAAGGAGAGCATTGACAGAGCATGTCATCTGTAGTCTGGCATGCTGAACCTGAGGCGCTTACGGGATCCTAAAAAGAAAATCAGAGGTCGGATTTGGATGGTCCAATCCAGTTCCAGGAAGCTATTAACTTGGAAGACTACACTTAGAACAGCAAAACAAGGATACGGAGAACACATGAAGATGGTCATCTCTAAAGAAAGAAGGTAGGCTGGCTGGCCAAATGGCATCCTAGGAAAGGCAGGTAATGACTGACTAAAGCCAAGAAGAGCATGAGCTTAAAAGACGGCCAGAAAAGAGAAGGCAAGAAAGAATGATGCTGAAGAAAGGAGGGTGGGAAACAGTCTCAAATCTTCAAATACCTAGAATGTAAATAACCTCAGACCTAACCAAGCTCTCCTTCACAAGCCACTCACTTCCGATGACCAGCAGCATGGCTCAGTCAGATGTAGTGTTAGGTCCTCAGTCCTGAAAGAAGACACAGTGGTGACTGGGAAAAGAGAAGAGTTTTTAAGAGGCTTCAACTGAAGATCAGAGTCTAACCACAGCGGGGTAGAAAGGAGCGGGGCCATTCTGTGGAGGGCTCTATGGGAAGCCTGGAGGTAAGAAGCCACAGAAAGGAAAGCTGAATTAACCAGAGTGGGTTGCCAAAGCAGGGGGATCGGGACCACAAAGACAGGAGAATGTAGTGAGGAGAAGGAATGAAAACTACAGGCAGCTTCCGGGTCAGAAATAGGTCCTGTGAGGCACAGTCATGGGTCTCTGCAGAGTCCAAGTCTAAACACAGTGAATGACACCACTCTACTAAGACCATAGGAAGCAGCCGGTGCTCAGTGGCCACTCAGAGGAGCGGGAGAGGACACAGCAAGTAAGGGGACCTAACAATAGTGCCAGACCAGAACTCTGGTACTGCACTGCTAAGTTTCAGACACTGTGCCTCCTGTCTCCCCTAGGTGCTAACCTTGGCATGGTATTGGGCAATGGTGAGAACTTTAAAAATGAGGCCAATTGGAATATTAGGGTTCATCCTCAGAAGGAACTGTGGAATCCCAGTCTCTCTCTCTCTCTGTCTCTCTCTGTCTCTGTCTCTGTCTCTCTCTCTCTCTCTCTCTCTCTCTCACACACACACACACACACACACACACACACACACGCATCCATGAGTCCTCCATGGGGCTCTAATCAGGACCTGTATAACGCTTTTGGGATCTCATTTCTTTATAAATCTGGTCATGATAGTAATACAAAATAGACCAATATCATCCCAAACCCCACAGTGGTGGGAGAGTCCCAGCTTTTTGCACGGAAGCACCAATGCATCAACTGGATAACATCTGGAGCATTGTTAAGACAAGGGTCAGTTAAGGAGACTGTTGTTGATAGGGTGTTTTAAGTCATGAGTCATAAGAGGCAAGCTGAGCAAGTGACAGGTCTAGGAGCCTGGAGCCCAGAGAACAGCAGATCAAAATAGGAACACAGGAGCAAAAGGGCAAAAATGAGTGGAGGCTGTCACCAAAGAGTGGAATATCTAACTTAGAAGCTTAGATGCAGAATCACACAAATGAGGTCATTGGCAACCCACCTTGCCACTGCCAGTTCTGTGACCCAGACCAAGCAGACGCTCTGGGCCTCAGTTTTAACTTCATCACCTCACACTAAGATGTGAAATGACCTGAACTTTGTAAGAACTATCCCGGGTCCCAACAGAAGAAACACGTAAGCCACATAACAGCAGGACCCAATCAAACCTATCTTCTCAGCGTATCAGGAAGCGTGACATGGGAAATTAAATAAAACTCAAACCAGAATTGACTAGCCTAGAAGACACAAGATAGTTTATAAATTATTAAAACTATATAAGGTGCATATTTGAAAACAACCAACCTCAACAATCTGCTGTGGAACAATCTTTGTACACTGTAAATGTGCATTACTCTCATTGTTAATAAAAAGCTGATTGACCAATTGGCAGGAAGAGATTGGGCAAGACAGCGTGACACAGAGAGAATTCTGGGAGGAAGAGGAGATGCCAGCCAGCTACCGAACAAGCAGGATGTGTAAAAAATGAGGTAATAAGCCATGAGCCACAAAGCAAAGGATAAATAGAAATATGGGTTAATTTAAATGTAAGAGTTAGCTAGTAACAAGTCAGAGCTATCAACTAAGCATTTGTAATACATAGTCAGCCTCTGAGTTGGTAATTGGGAACCGGCAGGTGGAAGAGAAATGCCCCGCTACAGCAATGAAATAAATATGCAATAAAATAAAATAAAAGTGGTAACAAAATGTAAGGTTGGAAAACTAAAAAGGTAAAAAAATAAAGTGGTAACAAAAGGTAAGGGGCAGGATGGCTCAGTGGGTAAAAGCACCTGCCATACGAGTCTAATGACCTGACTTTGATTCCAGAAACACATGACAGAAGAAGAAAATTGACTTTCAAAAGTTGTCTTCTGACCTCTACGAGCGTGCATGTGCACACACACACACAAACCTGCCCGTGGTGGTTTGAATGAAAATAGTCATCATAGGCTCATACATTTGAATGTTTGGTCCTGTGGAACTCTGTGGATCAGATGCAATCTTTTTCCACAGCAATAGAACAATGACTTCAGAAAAGTAACTAAGGTAACATTCAATGATAATCATAATTTTCTAAATGGGTGATAAATGCATAAGTAAATATTCAATCATCAAAGAATGAAATGCCACATATGTTTATGTCACTTCACAACCATTAGATTGGCAAAGACTGAAGGTCTGGCCAAGGAATGGTAAGGGTGTGGATAGACTGACATTCCTCACCACTTAGGAAGATATACTGACAGTAGCACACTGGGGAGAATTAGTCTCCTCTTGACAAAAACAAATGTTGGCACCCACAGGCCAGTGGGATCACTAGGTAGGTTTCTCACGAGGTTGATACAAGGGTTTCTGCAGAAAATGTGTTAAAATGTTCACTGTTGGATTAGTTACCATAGCAAACAGAAGCAATCTAAGTGCCGAGCAACAGGAGAAGAAAGGAACTTAAAGATTATTTGAGAAGAAAATACTAATCATCTCTTAATATGAGGTAAAAATAAAATCCACAGGCATCTCAGCTGGCTGTAATCCAGAGAACACTTAGAGGTGAGGTGCTATGCAGAATCGTAGGCGAGAGTGTAATGGCATGCAACCACATCTTTAAAGCACAGGTCATACTACATACTATGCATACAGAAATGCCATGAAGACATAATGATGAGCATGAAAATAACAGAGAGTGAGTGATGGTCACTTTGGGGGAATGAAGGGCTCCAGAGGGAACTGGGGATGTAGCTCCATTGACAGAGTGCTTGCCTGGCACGCACAAAGGCTTCAGGTCAATCCCCTGTACCACATAAACTGGCCTTGTGGCACACAGCTATAATCCCAGAACGTAGGGTGGGTTAACCAAAACTAGGGATGTATGAAAAAAACATTATATGGAAACCCACAGTTAGTAAGCTAACTTCAAAATATAATTTAAAAAAGATTTCAAACACAATTACTGTGCGTCGGAGGACAATGACACTCCTAGACGACATGGGTGATTAAATGCAGTATCAAGAACCCCCGAGGTGTCCAAAAGAGCACAGGTTATTGCCATTGACCTTGGTCAACCACCATAACTGCATGTTAACCCCCTGCTGATGAATATGCCACACAATCCGGCTGCAGGATATAGAGAAATCAAAGAAATCATTGGTGTTATTGAATGCTAGACCCTGTATGGGAAAATATCAACCTGCCAAGCAAGATATACCTACTGGTACAAAAAGGACATGACAGTTACAGGGTAACCAACTGCTTTCTGCTTGGATTTGATGCCTGCTCCAGAGGAGAGAAATTCATGCCTGATATTGTAACCCTAGTCAAAAGCCCATAGCTAGGAGAGCTCATAGGCCCTATTATTATTTTGCTAAATGGTCATGTTGTCACTGCTTTCTAACATTCATGTTTATACACAGACCTAGACTACTCTCAATCTTGGTTAAAGAAACTTCTTTCTGCAGTGTGTGATAAGTCAATGCTGAGGTCCACAACCAGTCAAAGTGCCCAGAGTAAGAGACGGCACCCTCAACCGGAGGGGTGGCATCTTTATCCACCACTGCTGAGGGAACTCAGTGGAAGAAGAGAGAGAATGTCAGAGCTGGAGAATGGGCAGCAGGGCCACGGCTTGGCTTGGCATTGCCCTCATCACCCTCGGCAGCAGTGAAGACCTGCACAGACCTCCACAAGAGCCAGCCAGCCGAAGTCCCTGCACAGGGGAGGCAGCCGTTGACTGCTGGAGAGGACAGTCACTCTCTTCTGCACTGGTACACTTCCCATGCTTTCAAGAAAGTTTTTCTCTCATTTAAAGAAACCAGTCGGAAGCATTAGGTTTGCACTTTTTCTATTTTTAAGCTTAAAATTACTTTTTTCCAATCAATCAGCCACATAGCTTCTTAATTCCAACCAGTGGCCTAAAAGAAGAAAAGTAAAACTGGCAAAGATAAGGACTGGGAAGGAGGGAAACCCTGGGTGTATCCACAAACTGCTGTGGTTTCCTGTGGAAGAGAATTCAGAGTTCTGAGGTATAGCAAATTCCCTATGAGGAGCAGGCAGGATTCTCTCCAGACACCCATCTCACCTCTCGCATGTGCCTTTTCAGGTGCATGTATACGCTCTGTCCAGTCTTTCGAAAATGTCTTTCAACGTGCTCCCTTCCAAAGGCCAAAAATGTGTTCATGCATACATAGAGTCCACCTTCAGAGTTCTAGAAGAGAGAGACAGGGTACAACGTTACCAAGGACACCTGGCCAAGTCATCAGGATACAGACAACCGAAGAGGACAGAGAGTAAACCACAAGGGTTACAATGACTCCTGGAGGTATCTGCTGCAGTCTCTGTGTCTTTACCCTCACCCCTACAGAGCACCAGGCTTATTGGGTGCAGGCTGCTTTCACCCCAGGTGAGGTACTACAGGCCCTAGAAACCTGTGCCTGACATTTCACACAGTTCAAGGGAAGGGAGACAGAAAGGAGCTATACATTGTAGCATGCAATGAGGCACATCTCAGTCTTCCGTTTGAGTTGAACTTCCAGGAGAATTCACTAAGGGGAGAGACCTGCCCTTACCATGGGCTGCAGCAGCCTATAGGCCAGGAGATAGATGGAATGGAGAAGGAGGAGGAGGAGGAGGAGGAGGAGGAGGAGGAGGAGGAGCCTGTAACACAGTCATTTTCTGTTTCCTGAATGCAGTGAGGTGAGCAACTTTGTTCTGCCATACCCCCCCACCACCACCACAACATTCTGCATCACCAGAGACCACAGCGATGGAGCCGGCCACCCATGGACTGAGACCCTGGAGTCAACAGCTAGAATAAATCCTTCCTCAGGTGTTTGTCAGAGAGACAAACCTGTGTCAAACCACCAAGCCTGGTATGCTGTCCAAGAAGATATCTAATAGCCACTTCTGTTAGCCACTTGAAGGTATTTATTAATATTTCTATTTCATAGCTTACAAAATTAATCCCAAGTCATTTTCCCCAAGTATGTACAGCCTGGAAGTTTCAGAGTTAGATTTCAATCTATGTCTCTTTTTACCCCTCCTTGGCACATTTCAAAACACATTAGGTTATTTCACTAGAATGAAGTCAGGGTTGATGTTCACGGCTAAGGTGCTTGACTTTCTATCTCAAGTTCACATCTTTTTCTCTCACTTTGCCTACCATGACTCTCCGAATACTTAGTCTATAAAACTACCCAGCCTTTCTTCAAAGGAGGAGGACCTTGTGAGAGCACTGCTAGTCTCACTCCTCCAGAGAAAATGAGAAAAGGATGCAACAGTACAGACATGCATGCAGTAAAATACCCATGCATGTAAAGTAAGATAGGAAAAATGAAAGGAAAACAAAGCCAAAAGGGAAACACTTGCCAGCCAGCACGTAACAAGATTCTTTATACACCAGGTGTAGTAAAGTGCACCTGTAATCCCAGCACTGCAGGACAGGGAGGTGGGGATATTGTGAGTTTGAAGCCAGCCTGGGCTACAGAGTGAGATCAAAGGAAGGGAAGGAGGGAAGAAGAAAAGAGAGATCCTTTCAGTAAAGATAGCATCCACTTGATCAATACATTAGAGAAGCAAACGTTTTTCTTTTAAATGAATATGTTCTCTTGCATAGTTGCATGCAATAGATACACATAGATATATAGATATTATACACATATAATATCTATAATGGTCATTGATTTATTAAATCAAGCTCCATATTGTGATTAGGGGAAAAAATAACCACTTACATTTGCTCTCAATAAAATGTAAATTCAATTAAAGAATCTAAACCATAAGATACAGGGCAGGGATAAGTGACACATGGGATTTGGAATAGCAGTCATGATGAGTCAGCTCTGCAGCTTGATGGGAATGCCAAGAACCTTGGGCTCCATGTTCTCTGCAAACAAGGCTTTGGTAACTCCCACTTCATGGGGCTGCCTACGTATAAGAGAAAAAAAAACACACCAAAGAGCTTCCTGTGCCACAAAACATTACGTAAATGTTGGCTATCTGCTGGTATGAGGTAATTCTCCTACAATATAGTCATTTTGTCATCAGAAGAAGGAAGATAAAGCCATTCACACAGCCATGTAGTCTAGGACCAAGAAATATTCTTCAGTCAGAAAGGAAGATGGAGGCAATCGTGAGAGAACAGAGAAACTGGCAAATGGAAGAATGAAGTGCTATATGATAATGTTTTCCTAAAGACAAATACACAACTGCTCTACAATGCAAACTCAAAAGTAATAGCCAGGCTAGTCATCTGATATTCTATCAAAGCCATCTCATAGCGTGAATTTGCTAGAAACTGAATACACCAAGTACTTGGTATCCATCTCCCAGGGCTGTGCGGCATTGTCCCAGAGTCCACAGTCAAACAGAACAATCCTGGACTAGAGAGGGGGTATGCGGGAGAGGGAGCTGGGTTTGGAGAGGGAAGATGGAGACTGTTAGAAACATCAAAGGACATCTTTCATCTGACACACAAGACTGACCACTAGATCAGGGTGTGGGGAAGTCCTGTGCATTTGTCAATAAAGCACTGTCTGGCCAATAGGGAATCTAGATAGGAGGGACTAGGAGTCCAGAAGGACTCTGGGTAGGAGAAACACAAGGAGGGCAAGATGTAACCGCCATGGGGTAGGAAGCCCGGAACTATTCTCCGGTAAGAGAAATACTTAGATGAACAATTATGGGGTAATTACTTAAGTCAGTAGCCAGTAAGAAACAAGCAAGGCCAACAGCTTCATAATGAATATTTGGGACTGATGCGGCTCTAGAACCAGGCTGGCAGGAAGGCTCCTCTCAAGGAAAAAGCTTCTCTTTACATCAGGGAGTGGCTGCTGCGCTACTATGAGGATACTTCATGGGGAACTTGCCAATAGGTCTAAAGTTCAGGGCACCAGGAACAGAAAGCTCTGTCAAAGCTTCCAGCAAAGAATCAACAAGTAGTCCGGTCTAATGATCTACCCTCTCATCCCTCTTGCCTCATTAATGTCCAAATAGTGGTCAGAGCTAGGCATGTCTCTAATCCCAGCACTCAGTAAGCTGAAGTGGGGGAATAGTAGTAGGCTACGGTCAGCTTCAGGCTAGTCTGAGCTACAAACTAATACTCCATTTGTCCAGACTGGGTTTTTGTCAACTTGACATAAGCTAGAGTTATCTGGAAAGAGGAGCCTCCTTTGAGGAAATATCTTCATCCAGATTACCTGTAGGCAAGCCTGTGGGACACACACACACACACACACACACACACACACACACACACACACACACAGTTGATGTGAGAGGTTTGGCACATTTTGAGTGGTGCCACTCCTGGACAGGTGGTCCTCACTTGTATGAATAGGAAAGCAGGCTGAGCAAGTCATGAGAACCAAGCCAGTAAGCAGCATCCTCCACAGCCTCTGCTTCAGTTCCTGTCTTGAGTTTCTTCCCTGAGTTCCCTCAGTGATGGATTATGATGTGGAAGCATAAGATGAAATAAACCCTTCCTCCCCAAGTTGCCTTTGGTCATGGTGTTTTGTTATAGCAATAGAAACCCTAACAAGACAGATGTTAGTACCAAGGCATGAGGTGTTGCTGCGAAAGACCAGATCATGCATTTGTCGGGGGATTGTGGGAAACTCTGGAATTTTGTACTAGAAAAGCCACTGAGGACCAGCAGCTAATGAGCTATTGTGAGAACTTAGAAGGTAATGCTGAGAGTAGCGCCAATGATGAAGCCCTAGATGGTGATGTTTCAGAGAGAGGTTTGAGAGTCCCTTAAAGGTTTATCAGGGCCATTCGGTATTTTGAGACTTAAGAACCTGTGACCCTGGGTCAGTTGGGGCTGAATAATTAGCTGTGATTAACAGGAGACCAGAACCACTTAGTGGTTCTTTGCTGGCATGATCGGCCGGGGTTGAAGACTCTGCCGTGATTAACTGAAGTGACATCTTCTGTGGAGTGCGTCCTCAGGTCGGCACACAGCAGCTGTACCCCAGAGGCAGCCAAGGATGTGCCTCACTCCGGCAGCTGTTCTTGGTGGTATGTAACAGTCTCCCAGTAGCTACCTGTTTTTGAAGGTTTGTGGAGGGCAGCTGAGACCTGGCACTGTGAGAGCCCAGGAGAGACCACTGTTGAAAGGGAAGCCTCATTACAGTAGAAGCCCCAGGACTGGAGTGGTCATGGAGAGAAGTTGAGGCTTGGCACCATGTGGCAGGCCAGAGACCCTGAAGAGAGCCCAGGAGAGGCCATTGGCGAAGCTGCAACCCAGGTGCAGTGGAAACAACAGCATTTTGGAGACGCCGGTACCATGAGAAGATCACTAACAACAGCAGGAGCGGAGCCCGCCTGAGCTTGTGAGACAAGCTATGCACACCGTGAATGGCAGAGCCAGAGACCTGCAGCTGCTCAAGCCTTTGCGGCCCAGAAGATCGTGAGTCCCAGATGTCAGACACTGAGCTTCACACTGTCGTACTCTGGTTTTGCTTTGGTTTCATGACTTTGGTTCATGACTGTGCCCTGATTATTCACTCTTGGAATAAGAAAATGCTTAACAGCTGGGCAGTGGTGGCACATGCCTTTAATCCCAGCACTCAGGAGGCAGAGGCAGGGGATCTCTGTGAGTTCGAGGCCAGGCTGGACCGACAGCCTCCAAAACAATACAGAGAAACCCTGTCTTGTAAGACCAAAAAAAAATTTTTTAAAGACTGTGAGACTTAATAAACCTGGAATACTTTATATTGTCATATTAATGATGACTTGGGAACAAGAAAGGAAAAGTAATGGGTTAATAGTGATGCATTTGTATGTCAAGTTGACAAGGGGCCAATATCCTGGTTGGATTTTATTTATTTGTTGTTTGTATTTTGTCAATTTGACACAAGCTAGTGTAATCTGAGAAAGAGGAACTTTAGTTGAGGAAAATACCTCCATCCAGATTGCCTGTAGGCAAGTCTTTGGGGCACTTTCTGGATTAATGACTGATATGAAAGGGCCCAGCCCATTGTGGGTGGTACCATTCCTGTGCATGTGGTCCTGATTTGTGTAAGAAAGCAGGCTGGGTGGGTCATGAGGACCAATCCAGTAAGAGCATCCTCCCCAGCCTCTGTTTCAGTTCCTGCCTCCAGGTTCCTGCCTTGAGTTTCTTCCCTGACTTCTCTCAGTAATGGTCTATGATGTGGAAGTGTAAGATGAAATAAATCCTTTCCTTCCCTAGATACTTTTGGCCACAGT